GCTCAAACCAATTGCAGCCACCCTTTATCTCCATAGTGGGTAAATCGCAAAGTTGTGGTTGTAGCCTTCTGAATTCAGCATAATTTCCCCTTTGCTTGCCATTCATAAATAATTTCTGTCAATATTTTCATGTGCATCTTGCCGAGATACGTATTTTTGTTCAACACATTATTTACAAAAAGAGAATCATTCATGCATTCTGTTTTACAGATTTTCTAAATAATATTTTGTAAGAATTATTTCCTATCAGGCATTTTTCTGTGATGTCTGAATAGCTTTACATTAATTCTTGATATGGAATAATCTCTATTTTTGGACAGTCTTCCAAACATTAATGTAAACAATCTTCTATACATTAATATAAATATCCTTGATGCTTACTTAATATTTGTGAATGCGTACAAATTTCTCCTTTATATATCCCTTAAGGTGGAACAACTGGATTAAAGAGTATGTGCATTTTTAAGGGCTTTTTATAATTGCCAAATTGCCTTTCAGAAATATGTTGATCTATACACATACTAACACTTATGTAACAAAAAATCTTCACATTAAGATTATGTTTGGTTTATATGGGCCAAGTGTCTCCCTTGCACCACCTGACCAGGCCCTGGTCTTTCTGCTAGCCTAGTGACTTCTCCTGTGAATTGGTTCCTGATGTTTAGGAAGCCACAGAAATCTGTATATTAAACAATTATCCTAATACAGCCTCTGCCAGCCCATGCATTTTCTCACACACATCTCTCTCAAAACCCCAACTAAAATAAACCTGGTCACAGCATCTGAATGCTGTGTACATATTTACGTAAATTTTATTTGCATTGTTGTGATTCATTAAATTCTTGTTCAAAACCCCTCATCAGCTTGCAGGATCACACGCTGAAGGCTTACGGTCTTAGGAGGTCTTCAAGATAGTTTTAAATGGTCTGTCTCCTCACTGCAGATGATAATCTGAGCTTATTTCCTGTTACTACTTTCCTCGTTTATTCTTCAGTAACACCAGCTGCCTAACTATTCCTGAAACACTCTAAGAATAAGCTTGCCTCAGGACCTTTGCACCTGTGGTTCCTTTCTCCTGGATACCTTGTCCTTAGATGTCATGTGACACAGGTCCTCGCTTGTTTTAGGTCTTTGCCTAAATGTCCACTTCTCAGGGAGGTCTCTCCTGGCCACCAACCCAGAATTGCAGTTCCTTCCCATCACGTCTCATACCCTGTTTATGCTTTTTAAAAATGTCCTTAGTGCTTATCACTCTTTAACATGTCATAGGTTTTATTTATGTTTTTTGTTGTTGGTCTCTCCAACCAGGATGTGAGCTCCTTGACGATAGGAACTGTGGTCACTTTAGTTTCTTGTTTTCTCTCTAGTTCTACTAAGAGCACCTAACACGTTATAGGTCTTCAAGAAATATTTGCTAGTAGGAGATAGGTCCCACCGTTATGTCCATTTGCAATTAGTAGAGACCAGGCTCATCTCTGATGCAAGGATTTTTTTTTTTTCCTCTGGGACACAGTCTGAGAGATTTCTCTTCAGCTCTCTCTGACCTACCTAAGAACCTCACAAATGGTGCACTTATCTGTTCAATTCTTCTCCTCGTCGGTAAGAACTATGCAAACCGGGGCAGACGGTTTAAATTTTCTAGGTTAGTCCTCAGTATTTTTCATTTGTAAAAAGAATTCCCTTTTCCCCCTGTCTCTTTATGGAGTTTGATTTAATGCAATAACATAAACAAAAAGCACTTAACATAGTACACAGCACCATTCATATTTGAAAAAAATATGTTTATAATATAGATAAATATATTAGTTCTCATTCCTTTTCTTCCTTTAGAGTTTGATTTTGGGAAAATTCCTGTAGGTAACAGCTCACTAATGCCATAAGGCAGAGAGGCAGTAAAGTGAAGTGTCTGCATTAGCTGTTAACACGGTATGAATATAAATGTACCAAAATAACATATTCTTCACCACCTTGGGTTCCCTGCCACCTTCTTCCTGGGTGTCTCTTTCTCAGATTGGGTGTCTCTGGAAAGATTTCTCCCAATGTGGCATCCAGTTCTGCTCTCCAAGGAGAAAGTTCTGGTTTGTTTAAATGCAGCTATTTCCCGGTCACAGTGTGACATCTGGATTTCCTGTCTCCTTCGATAACCGGTTAATTACAACCTGGACAGTGTGAAGTAGTTGTTTTTAGAACATCTTTGCAATGGGGCTTCGGGAGTCCTTAGAAGTTTAGGGAAGGCCAGGTGCATGCTGGAGGGCTTTCCCCCTGGCAGGAGCCGATTTTGCACGTGGGCCAGCCTGAGAGTCGGGGTGGTCAGGGTCTGTGTGCATCAGTGTGTGAGCACACGGGTGTGTGCTTGTCATTCAGGTGCATCGGTACGTTCTTTGCACGTCAGGGCATTCAGAGATACAGAGAAGACCAAAGTTCTCCAACAACCCTTATGGCCTTTCTCATTCCACTTTCGTCCTAACCATTGCTCCCTGGGTGGAGCCAGCCTACTGCCATTCCGTCTGCGTGTATCTTTTACGTGTCACTACCCACAGTTCTTTTTCCAAACCCCCAAATGAATATCAGACTAAAGACCATGAGCTACTCAAGTTACTCATGTTCAAAGCACCAACTAATATTGTCCACTGTGAGTGCCTGAATGGACAATCCTTTTCATTGCCCTTAAAATTGAGTCCCAGTAATCTTAGAGAAGAGGGTGCTGTTCATGTCTTCCCATCCTGAATTACAACCAAACAGCTGAAGCTTAAAGGAGGGTAAGTGTGTGATCACTGTACAAAGATGCCAAGAATCCCAGGCAGGATGTGTAGCGTCAGCTTAGTCATTCCCGGGCCTCTGTTGAAGACTAGGTTTTATTCTCACCTCCTCTTCCCATGTCTCCTTTGGCCCCATGGTAGAGGGAGAAGAACAGAGTGCTGCCATCTCTTCTCGGAGTCCACACAGGCGTGAGATGAAGCAGAGTGCCGTCAGGGTTCTGTTGTGGGTTTGTGCTTGTTCCGCCTTCAGACAGCAGGCCCTGCAGCCATTGGAAGGTCCATTGGTAGGCTCTCAAGCCATCTGCTGACAAGGTGCTGAGAGGCTCTTCGGTGTTAAAAAATGTAGATGAGTTTGAACTTGAAATGATTGGAGTGCCTCTGGTGATAAACTCAACTTGATGGGCCACACTTTTAACACAGAAGATGGACTTCAGCGGCTGCTTCCCCCGCCACGTGGGTGAGGGGAACAGAAGCGCCATCAAGGGGACATCTCTCTTCCTCCTGTGTCCTGGTAGCTTCTGTTGCTGTTGTCACCTTGCTCTGTCTGGCTCCTCACTTGACAGGTTGCTTCCTGCTGTCACACTGCTCTTGTCTCTCTGTCAGTCTGGAGGACAGCTGAGGTCAGTACTGAGACATTTTTAAAAAGGCAACAGGAAAAATGCGGCCGACCCTTCCCAACACGGGGGTCTCCTTCCCTGCTTGGCTGGTGCTGTGGGGAGTAGAGGCAGGGGTGTCACACGACTGATGGAATGCCATTTTGTAAAATACCTGCCCATTTTTTGTCACGGGATGAAAACATCTGAGTCATTTGTCATGGTACGAAACATTGGTGACGGTATGAAACCATTTGAAAATTCTTTGTTAAACATCGGAAATGTCTGCTCTGGTGACTTGCTGCCTCTTCTCAGCAGTGACCATATGGCTTAGCATCTTAAGCACTGGACTGTGACTTAGGAACTGTGTGCTAATGTTCCAGAGTCCATCTTCTGTTATTGATGCCAGCTGAGCCACCATCCATAAAATGCAAATAATAAACCTAACTACTCTGGAAAGTAAAGACCAGTAATAAATTCTTTCCACCATTCTAAAGTGATATAAATGTATGATAAATTATGGCAGAAACCATAGTGGAAAGAATACATTCTGAGTCCTTAGGAAGATAGATGTTTTTTGATATTTTGGATTACTTTGGATCCAATTGGCTTGGCAATTAGTCCCTTGGTATACATACGGTATGTTTGTGTGCATAATACTAAGCCACTAGTTCCGAAACTTCCCACAGTCGATGCCTCTTATCTTTCTCCTCCACTCATGCAAGTCTCATACTTAAAAGATTCTGCTAAGACCAAACTTGTGTTTACCAATAATGACAAAGGCATTTGTCCATGAAATCATCATTTTCAGAACGATGGCTATCATTTATAGCTGCTGTTATTCTGACTATTAACAACTTGAGACAGAGAAATTGAATTTATCATTTGTGTTCATCAATGTAAGTTAATCGTGGCTAAGTCTCTGGTCTTGATGAAATAATCAGCATAAAAAAATTAAAAAAAAAAATAATCAGCATAACATACATGTCCCTTCTTCCTTCCTTCGTGCCTTCCTCCCCACCTGCTTGCCCTTGTTTGCCTGCCTTTTAGAAGCCCAGGAACAGCAGATTGAGAGCAATTTGATTCAGCATTGGTAAGGTCAGCTTTGGATACAAGGTCTTTAGGTGTAGTTCTTTAAAAATTAGAGTTGATATTGTTCATATAGTCTCAAAAATCTCTGGGTCACTTATTTCAGAGATTAAGCCACAAATAAGAGAAAGTTCTGGCATGTAGCTATTATTTTCCATGATAAAATGGAAATGTGTGTGAAGAGAAGGCATCTTTTCTAGAGATCATTGAGTTTTTAGCATGTGTTGTAAAATTCTCATAGCCATGTAATTCTGCATTCTGCTTGCCGGCTGATTCATAACCAAGAACATTAGAGAGAACTCTCTTTTCTTTAGAAGCATCACTATATACATTATTCTGAATTTGTGTCCTTAAGTTTTAAAACTGTTGATCTGATATCAATTACTAGATTTTTTTTTCATTTTTAAATAATGCATTTCCACCCTTCATCTATCCCTCGTGCAAGTTAAATTCTGTTACAAACTGAGGGGGGAGCAGGCAGGTAAGGGGCAGTGCACACAGTGAAGAAACATCATGATCTCAAGTTGAAATATTAAACGATAAATATTTATTTCTCCAGAGACTGGATCCCCAATTACAGCATCCTGCATTGGATTAGGTAATTCTAAAACGCCTCCTCCAGGACAAGCAGGAAAAAGTGTTCCAGGATACAATGGTGAGAAGTGACCCTGATTATTTGGAATGTGTAAGGTTAATAAATTTGGTATTTTTTTTCCATGTCTAATGTGAATCAAACTGCACAGTCAGTGCTTAAAAGTATTTGATTGAATGAATACATTGTACTAAAAATAAATGCCTTAATTTTGTTATTAGTCAATTGGATCAAAAATAAGATTGTTGACTTCCAAGGACATGTTCTAAATGACTGTAATAACCGAGAAAATAATATTTATAAGGCACGTTAAGAATATGGCTGTAAAATTAATATGTATGAAACACTTGCTAGGTGCAGAGTACTTTGCATATATCATTTCACTTAATGATGAATTATATTTAATTCAGAGGTATCATTATCACTCTAAAGATGAGTTAACTGGTGCCTGAAGGGACTGAATTACTTTCCTTAGGTAATATGGCTGGTTAGGTCCTATAGACAGTGCAGACCATCATGTTTTATTTTGTTGGTTTGTTTGTTTGCTTTGCATGTTTTTGCTGCAAAAGCTGTAGTTTTTTCCCAATAATATGCAACCTTTTAACTTAGGAGTGACGGTAAAGTTTCTGAACCATGTTGGCTAAAAGTAAATATAAAGAACTAAGGATTCTAAATAGAAAAATCACTTAGTCCATACTGGTAGTACGTGACAATGAGATACAATGTATTTTAAATATTTGCTTTAAATTGTTGGTAAGGCTACAGTGGTTCAATAATTTCCCTTGGGCTCCACTTGCTAGTTATATAAGTTACACAAGTCACCTAACTTTTCAGAAATTCAGTTTCCTTATTTCTAAATGGGAATAATAATTCCACATGCTTCATAGGGTCACGATGTAACACAGTGAAGCATTAACACAAGCACTTGCCAGTGAACAGACTGAACTAAGTCTTAGCTAGTAGCGTGCTGATATTTCCTAGAAGCCAGACAGGCTGACCTAATTTAGACTTACACATTCATTTCACAGACAAGGAATATGAAGAACAGAATTTATTTTATTTGCATAAGGTCACAATTTAGCTTAACGGATTTACGAGGAAAATCCATCTTTGGTGGACAGAATATGGATCCTACATATAGTCTCTATTAGCATGTAAATCATAAAATGTAGAGACTTATCCCTTGCCTCTCTGACATAAAAATATATTTTCTTTCTAGGACAATGATTAGTTAAGGAAACGTGGATCATGTGACTTAGCCTAGTGGATGTATTTATAAAAAGACACTTTGGAATTTTTCTTTTAAGAGCAGAAATAGATATTCTGTGAAGTCAGTGACTTTTCCAGGCATGCGAAGGTGAACCCAGCTCCAGTGAAACCCACACTTTGAACAGTCCTGTCATCCTTGCTCCTTTTATCAGAAAAAATTGCTTTGTGTTGAGCCATTTTTTAGGGGCTGATGTTTGTGGGAGATGTTAAATACATTTCCCTTTCAGTATTTTTGTATCCAGCTATAAGAAAGAGTTAAGCTTTGATGCCTCATGAAATTTCAGTACAGAAGTTTCTCATTGTCTGAAAGCCATTGGCTTACAGACAGCATAGGTTAAACATTAGAGCTTAAGTATCTATAACCAAGGAGGTAGTGACTTTATGACTCATAATTTTCATGTTTTGTGGTTAGGCAGAGATTCAGAAGCATAATGTAGTATTCAGTATGAGGATAAAAAAGTGATATCCACCTGGAAAAAGCAAAGAAAACCATTTTTTGTGTGTGTGAAAAATATTTGACGTAGTGTAACAGTCGCACATTCATTGAGTACCTTACACAAGCTTGTCACTTACTCTCTTCAAGTAAGTCTTACAAGAACACTGAGCAAAGAATCACTCCCACTTTTTATATAGAGAAACCAAAGACGGAATATTTATACAGGGGCACAGAGTAAATTGGCTACGGCACTGAGATTTGGGGGACACAAAGGTTAGTTAGGCATGACCTCCACCCTTAATGACCTCCCGGTCTTGTGAGAGGAATATGCATACCACTACTAATTGTCAGAATAGAATTCTAAAGTAAAGTGCTCTGAAAACACAAAGAAGGGAATGATTAATTTTTTCTGGGGACAATGTCCTTCTTATAGCTTCGCTTAGTAGAATAATCTGGATGGATGACGCCACATAAAGGATCAATTAGAGCTTAGAACATGATGATATATCCTCATTTCCAGTTTGCACTAGGGGTTGTAGGATGTGGATACAGGCTTCGACCTCCTAAAATCTTTCAGGACTGGAATAGTGTGGCCCAGAAAGCACCACTGGGATGATATTTGGGGAGGCTTAAATGGATCTTTAAGGCTTAGAAGTGGATATTAAGCCTTAAATCACAAAAAGTGGTTTCCCACGCTTTTAAAAACTTTATTTTTATTGCTTGAAATATTTTTTGGCCTATTTTAGAACTTGATTTGTTTCCTTTTGCATCTATTTTTAATGTTTTTGATAGAATAGGAGGCTACGTTGAAGTGGATATAAACATGGATTTTGAAATTAACAGCATGTTTGAAATACAATGTCTTAGGGAGTTTCTGAGGGAAAATTCATGATCTTGTTAAGAATCAAAGCATGTGCCCTTTGAATTTTTTGTGAGACATGTTAGCATAGTTATATGTTCATTGTCTCATAGGAATTAAAAAAAGCCTGTGAAGCTACAGTTTTGGGGGTTGGATATAGGAAACATGGAAAAGTTCAAGCTTTAAGGCTACACATTTTTATTCAAATTTATGTTATTTGTTTGTTTCTATTCTACTTTGCAGTTATGATTTTGGATGACAACATGCAAAAACTGAAGGCTCGATGTTTAGGAAATATTGTGGTAAAGTAAGAAAAATTTGCAATGCTTCTATTTAAGAGCGCAAGAATTGGTATATAATAGTAAGAAAAAACATGCAATGGATAGCACTAAGTAGGGGGTTGCAAAATAAGCTCATGCATGGCTAGACAATACCCAGTGCCAACCTCTTGTCATTTAAACATGGAAGCCCCATAAAGTAGGATAAATTTAAATATGTTTTTTTATAAAGATAAATCTTGCATTTTAAATAGTTTTTTGATGATACAAATAATGCATGGGTGATCTATTTAACTTAAATACCAAAAATATAAAGATGTATTTAAAGTTTCTATACTCCCACCCTTTAGCGATACAACATTAATTTTATAGTATATATGTGCCTTTCCTTTTTTTATTTTTTTTATTTATTTATGATAGAGAGAGAGAGAGAGAGAGAGAGAGAGAGAGAGAGAGGGAGGGAGGCAGAGACACAGGCAGAGGGAGAAGCAGGCTCCATGCACCGGGAGCCCGACACGGGACTCGATCCCGGGTCTCCAGGATCGCGCCCTGGGCCAAAGGCAGGCGCTAAACCGCTGCACCACCCAGGGATCCCCTGTGCCTTTCCTTTTGATCAGCATTTTAGACTGCTTATTCTTGTATTTCCATTTTTCCTTAACCCTGTCTCATGAGCATGTTTCGCCTCAACTCTGCCTCTAAAAGTGTTTATTCCCATTCTAGAAATCTTGGTCTTTTTTCTTTAATATTTATGATTTATTTATGATGGTAAATAATACCATATTGAACATCATTTTTTTATGTTGACTTCTGTCCTTTTCTGATAATCACTATCGTATTGAATGATTTCTAAAAGTGTAAGTACGAGGTCAAATAGTAGCATAATATAAAATCCCCAACTCAGCAAATACCACAATTCCTGGCTAACATTTTCATCCTTGTTCATTTGTAAACAACAATTGTCAAAAGCATCAAAATTGGAAGTGCAAATACTGAAATTTGCTTTGAATAAATCCATATTTTAAAATTGTCATGCTAAAGGAAGCTGAAATGCAAGTTGATTAAATCGGGGGACAAACAAGGTGTGACTATTTTAATAATTGATACAGGTTGCTTTAGTGCCTCTGATTGGGAACATTGGCATCTTTACTGATATGGTTTAAGTAGTAGAATTTGGCAGAAGGAGCCACTGTAAATAAAGAACATTGTGGGCAGCCCCGGTGGCGCAGCGTTTTAGCGCCGACTGCAGCTCAGGGCATGATCCTGGAGGCCCGGTATCGAGTCCCACATCAGGCTCCCTGCATGGAGCCTGTTTCTCCCTCTGCCTGTCTCTGCCTCTCTCTCTCTAGCTGTGTCTCTATGAATAAATAAATAAAATCTTAAAAAAAAAAAAGAACATTGTATGTCAAACTTTGAAAAAAATTTGTTTTCCTACTTATTTAAAAGATATTCTTGGGATGCCTGAGTGACTCAGTCAGTTGAGTGTCCAGGTCTCAGCTCAGATCTTGATCTCAGGATCATAAGTTCAAGCCCCGCAGTGAGCTCCACACTGGGCATGGAGATTTCTTTAAAAAATAAGATAATAAAGAAAGAATTTTCATGACTCGGCATCCTGTCTCAGGTTAGAGACCTAACCTCAGGTATGAAATTTCTCAGATTAGGTCTCTGAACTGCAGAATATTGGACACATAACCTCACCCTTTCCCTAAATTAAACCTAACCTGAACCCAAACCTGAACCCTAGACCTGAGAGACCAAAAAAAAAAACCAACAAAAACAAACAAACAAAAAAAACGAAACAAAAAACAAAAAAAGATGTGGTATATTTATATAATGGACTCTTACTCGGCAGTGAAAAAGTACAAGATCTTAGCATTTACATGGATGGAGCTAGAGAAAAAAAAATCTCAGGTTAATAAAACATTTAAAATTCTGTGAAAATTAAATGAAAAACAGTAACTTTAAAAAGAATGGATTTCTTCAGATCAGGATACATTAACCTTACAAAAAGCTAGTAGAGCAGATATACTTTATGATACAATTCTCAGATTCTCGTGGGATCCCTAGGTAGGTAACTACTATATTATTTTTTTCAAGTTTAAATTTTAAGACATCTTTTTAAAAAACCGATTATTTATGTATTTATTCATTCATGAGAGACACACAGAGAGAGGCAGAGATATAGGCAGAGGGAGATGCAGGCTCCCTGCAGGGAGCCCCAGGTGGGACTCGATCCCAGGACCCTGGAATCACAACAGGAGCCGAAGGCAGACACTCAACCACTGAACCACGCAGGCGTCCCAAATTTTAAGACACTTGTCAAGATGGAAAAATTAAAAACTGAATATACCATTTATATTCATGTTATTCTGAGCTAGAATGAATGTTCACATAGAGCTGGTTGAAATCTGAATTCTTAGGGGGAAATGGAGAATTGGGGGAAAGCGTTCTAAGAAATTAATAATCTGAGCAAGATTGTAGGTGGATGTTTAGCTTACTTAGGGAAGCACTTGGTTTTTGAAAGCCCTCTAGCAGCACACATTTTTATATAACCTTCTCAATATAAGTGAGTCTATTTCATAAAGCAACTCTGTAAGATCCTAAAGGTAGTATTTGATGCCAACAGTTTTATACCCTCTGTGTGTTTTGCCATTCTAATTATTGGTTGTTTTGCCCTACTTCCATTCAAAAACAATATTGCAGTCGCCCATATAAACTATATTTTTTCTTAAAGCCATTAATGTTACTGGTACTTAAAAAGTAACACAACCATTGCCTTAAAGCATTTTATGGTTTAGATTGTCACCAATTCAGAATTATTTTCTACTCTCTGCATTCCTAAACAGGGAATTATATTGCACTGATCTGGGATTCTGAAATTTCTATGTGAATTCTTGGAAGATACAATATATTATGATATGCAGTGGAGTTTGTATCCTGCCTTAAGAGTGAGATGAGATGTTTGAAAATGTTGTATGTATATTCAAAAGGTAAAGAAGAAAAAACAGGAAAAAAAATAGTTCCCATCAATATCTCGCTCTTTTTTTTGTAAGAGTAGTTGAAACCTTATTATAGGAACTCATTTGTAATATCTGGGAGGATATTCCAAAGGATTTCCTTTGGAAACCCACTTCTCTAGTGGCCATTCCACCCTAACCTGTCAACCTCAAAATTACTCGTGCATCTCAGTGGCTGCCTGCAGAATGTGTAGGATGTTTTCATGTTTAACATCTATCGGTAAGGTTTCTTTGTGTTAGTCCATAACTGTTCTCTGTGCCTTGAGGGGATACATCATTCACCCAGAATGGGACTAGCCAATGAATGCTTTATAGAAGCTCATAAAAAATATATGTTTAATTGAATTAAGGGAAAGAAAAAAAAAACCCAAAGCTTCTTGACTTAATAAAAATTGTTGTGGTTCTAAAAAAAAAAAGTATGTAATTTGAGAGAGAAGGATTTTTTTTCATATAGACCACATTCTAAAGAAAGTTTGTGATCTGAAAGCAGACTTCTTTTCAGAGATTAGCCACACGAGCCCCAAGAAAACTTAGGTGGATACTGTAAAAGGGAGTTCATATGGTGAGTGGGGTCCACCAGGGACTTAAAACTGAGATGGTGTCAATAGCTACCTCTGGGAGTGATCCCTGGCCAGAAATAGATGTCCACTCTCAATTATTCATATCTAGGCTTCTCTTTATTATTTTATTATTTTGTATAATAACTAAGTAGTAGCGGTGTAGGTTCACTAATTATACTTGTAGTATAATTACAAGAATACAGGGAAAATCAGCATGGAATATTTGAAATGTATGGGGCTCCAACTATATTAAAGTAAGCCAATAAAAAAAATGACTCATTGTTTTAATTCCAAATTTATTTGCTTTTGTAAGTACTGCTGTAGCTGCTTCTTCCACTATAAAATCTGTTATGAACAAGATAAATCACCTTGGAAACTATCTTTCTGTGGCAGTTTCTTTAAAATCTGAGGCTATAATCATATTTCCACCCTTTCAAGATATTAAATGTAATGATTCATTTTATCATATTAAGATGATTCACCCTAAAATGAGAAATAGTGGTATGTGGAAATGTTGAACAGAAAACTCTTGTTCCACTTAATTTTTTCCACTTCTTTGTTAACACTTTTTAGAAATTGCACTGTTTTGCTTTCTTGGGAATCCCTTCACTGAAAGATAGACGTTTAAATGATTCCTCAACTACTGTAGACCGTAGGATGTAATAAGCATGAATCCTACAGCTTTTCTAGATTCTCTGCATTCATAGGATTTGCCTTTCTAGTAGAGAAGAAACTACATGTCTTTGTGGATGTTAGCAAATTCCTTTGACTCTGAAACCTACTCCAGGCAGTTAATTTAGTGGGAAAGTTATGGTATCTGAATTGCTATGAATACAGAATGTTCATGAATTTTGGGAGGTATTCCTGCAATTGCATCCAGAGCCCTAAAGTGCAGAAATAAAACTGAGTCTGTAATTTCCAAGCAACACAGAACAGGCCATGAAAGAAAATTTTAACTGCAATTGCCTTCCTCCGTACCCCAGAGCTCACTGTTATTAAAGCCATAGGTCTCTGGCTACTGTAACAAGCAGGCAGTAGTTGATCAAAACCAACTTGTGCTGGGTAATACATCTTTTCCACAGTATGCAGGTTTTTTTTTTTAAAGGAGGAAAAATAAGTCCTCCTTTATGGGCCTACGTTTTTCATGGATCGGATCCAGTTGTTGCTACTGGAAGTGCAGCTTTCCACCTCCTGCTGTGTGCCCTGGTCTGTGCCCCGCAGGCCTGGGAGCAGGAGGAGGGCGCTGTACCTGGAAGGCATCGTCCACGTGGCTTCCACTCTGCTGCCTGCCAGTTTCTCAGCCTCCAGATGTTGACTCCTGTCCCCTGTTGACTCCTGTCACATCATTATAGCTTCGCAGGAGTGACTTAGTCACTGTGCTGCTGTCTTGGGAAAGGGTCAGGACAGCTTTCTTTTCATCAGTGTATCCCTTTGAGTAAAACTAAGGGTGACACATAATTGTAATCACGTTCCTTTCTAAATGTCATACACAGATTTTATAGTAAGATCATTTATTAGCCTTACACCATCACAGTGAGATAGTGGGGCAGGTATTATCATTTTAGACATGGGCATCTAAACATCTTTAGTAGTTGTGCAGCTACAGCTCACATTTATAACCTAGTCATTTTGTCCCGAGAGAAAGAAATGATGGCTTAATCATTCTCTTTGTGGGGAGACAAAAGGCAGCCTCATAAGAAAATCTCAGGTAAAGCTACAGACTCCAGTGGAAATGCTAGGAGTGCAAAGTTGGGATCTACCCCCAGAATTCTCTAGGGAACAGGAGTTAGGTCTTCAATTTAACTTCTGTTACCATGGGGATTGCTGATGGAACAGTAAATACAGATCATCCTGTATCTGGGAATGGAGGCATGTATGCGTTATATTCCAGAGTGGTCGGGAATGTCACCTTCTACAGTGATGACCAGTCCCTTCTTTCCTTATCTGTTTAAGGATTTCTCAGCACACACACACACACACACACACACACACAGAGGATCACTTGAGTTATTTCTCTCTCCCTTTAAGAATGGGTTCTTAGGAAAGACATTCTCTAAGGGTAACTCTTGATCCACCCTTGGACAGGTTGCAACAAAACTTCCCTTTTCACTCTGCTTGAAAGAGTTGGGAAAGGTATCACAGAGTGGGGCAACAGCCTTATCTTGGATTTGAAGGAGGAGCGTAGGCACTATCCAGAGTGGGTCCCAGTATTTTCAAACCTACCCCTCCTCCTGCCAGTCTAATGTATCTTCATGTTATTGTAACTACAGAGGAAAATTTTCTTTTTCTGCAACCTCAGAAGAAGGCCCCAGGGCATCCATTATTCCAGGAGCAATAGGATAATCATTAGGATATTCAACAAGAAAAAATGTTAATTTGCAATTCTGTTAAAAAAAAATCTACTCTAGCTCATATATACACCGAACATCATCTCTCTGGAGCTTATTGCTTCTCTTCTCACGTGTTTTATTTCATATATATATATATATATATATATATATATATATATATAGTCATGGTTACTTCCAATTCTGGAACCCTCTCTTCCTGTATTTCTTTAGGACCATTATATGGCATCTTTTAAGGTTCCTTTTTTAGACTCTGTTTCTTTTTTTTTTTTTTGGACTCTGTTTCTAATGTTGAAATTGCAACATCCGAATTTTTAAAACACATCAGACTCTCTTAGTGAAGAACAGATAGCTTCCCCTCATTGTATCCTGCTAATAATTACTAATTGCAATCTCTTATCTTGCTCTCCAGCCTGTACCTCAATTCAATTTGGGGATAATGAAGTAGTTTTCTGGGGACATGTCAGAAATGATCAGGAGACTCAGATGTCATTTCCAGCAGATCCACACCTTGGCTTTTAGGTGTGGCTTCGTTTCAGGGATAAAACTTTCCCTTCCAAGAGCTCCTGCTGGTACAGAGTCCAAGGACCTGGTGTAAAACTTGCCTGACGAACATCTTTACCTTATTTCATTAACTTAAGGGAATAGACATCATTCATGACAGTCTTTCTCCCTAACTGTATTGTAAAAACACTAGACTTTCACATCTTCATCTTGTCTTCACTGGCTGATTCTATTCACACCTTCCCCGTCTTAGAATCAGCCTGCCTCTCTGCACTCCATCAATGACATATCTTTCCTTCCAGTCACCCACAGACTCTTAAAAAATATAGTCTAAATATATATGTATATATATATATATATAGATAGATATATAGATAGATAGTCTAGCTTCCTGCTTCCTCTTACTTTTACTTTTTAGTCACTCCCATTATTGTCTGCTCTGTGCCCCTGAAATGGCAATCCTGAGAATACTCAACGTATCTTCATTGTTGAGTTGCCTGATCTCTGTTGAATCACTCTCAAACAAAATCTGTGCTTCTATGACCTTGTTGAACACTCAATCATTATTAAAACTCTACAGTAGTGGCTCTTAAGATACTCTTTTTTCCTAGTTCTCATGCATCTGATTTATTTTTTGTTGAATGATCCCCTTTCTTTTGTTCTTAAAGAACAATAGCATTTGGCCTTGGATTTCTCCTTTCATTTCATTCCCTGTCCCTGGATCATATCCTTGGTATGTTATTCTTAATTCTCAAGGTCTCTAGATAGATACAAATTTATACAGACCTTTCTCACAGGAGTGAGAAAAAAATGGTATAAAAATCACTACCATCTCTGTTCTTTAAAAAAATTAAGCAGGTATTTGAAATTTTGTGCAACAGCTAAAAAAGTCCAGGTCCTTAAAATCTGTTAACTTTTTTCCCCTTGAGGATGGCTACCTATATTTTAATCCTCTACACTTTTATTAATTATAAGAATCTACTCTGTTACTGATCATTGGTGCCATAATTCGCCCAGGCACTAAGAGAAAACCCAGATTATGAGAGCATCTTCTTTTAAAGATAGAGGCTGCAGACGTAACCAGCTTCTGGGAAGTATAAGATGTTCTCTTTCTCTCTAGTAACACTCTTACCAGAAAATGCTGCACGCTCTGTCCCATGTACACATGCTAAATCAGGTACGTCCCAGGCCACCGGGAAACTCAGATTGCACTCGGTGCCTGAGGGGCTAATTCATTTGGATTATTATTGCAAATACTTAGGAGTCTCTACTGTGAGGAGGCAGTCTGGATGCTGGGGGATCAAAATCTGTGTCTAGGGGAGATAAAATGAAAGAGAAGCTGCTTGAACAGTAGTATGTCCTTCTTTCTGCATAGTTTTCACTACAGGCAATGTTAAGTTGGATCAGCATTTCTGTACACCAACAATCAGATGGTGCTAAGAAACAGCTGCTTCTGTTAGACCCAGCATCCGCATTCTAATTTGCCTCAGACCCCAGCCCTCTCTGATGTCCCCATAGCAGCCTTAGTATCAGTTGCCAATTATTATCACAGTAACCTTTTATTTTTCTTAGAGTATAGTGAATAAATATCACCATGAAAAGCAGAAAGGATGTAGATCATCATATACTGGAGAGGAGGAAAATTGGAAAATTGTTTATTTACTATGTAAGGAGAATCCATCTCCATTGAGATTATTGTCGAGATTGTTTCTTTTACATGTAGTCAGCTTCACTCATGAATGTTATCTTTTCCATCCTGGATTGGTTTTCGGTTTATTATCTACCAAACCTTCCTGGCATCCTTATTGACCTCTTTATCCTCAGCATCCCGAAAATGGTGCTGAATTGAATGTGTTTTGGTGGCTGCTATATTCATATTTTATTCCCATGTTTAATAACCAATGATTTACACCTGCCTATAAGATAGTAACAATAAAAACAAACTAAGGAAGTGAAATTATGTGATACGGAGTTAGGATTGGCATAGCCGACTCCACTACAAGAGCCCACAGGCATCACCTGCTTCGGCCCACGGCCTTCGCGCGGGCTTAGTGAGGAACAGCAAGAGCAACAACAGCAGAGTGTCTGTAGTTTACAGATTACAGACCGCTTCCATGTGCATTTTATGCAATTGCATGAAGTCCAGAAATGCAGATGTTGCATTCTTTTTTCTCCATCTTAAATTAATACAAAGTGAGGGTTTCTCAAGGGAGGATGACCTACCAGGAGGCTGAAGATGGGCAATCACAGCTGGGCCACTGATGCCACTTGTAACACCACTCGTCGGACAGAATGTGAGAATACAACTCAGCGCCTCGGAGATCTAACGTTGGGGTGGAGGATGCGTGACACTGCCTCATGGGAAGCAGTAGCCAATGTCTACTTTGTTTTCAGTTTTTGCAATATGAACACTGTGAAGTCACTGCTTCGCTTTGTATTTTTATTGCATGAGCCTGGAGGGGAAGGTGTTGGAAAACCCTTAAATTCTACAGTATCGAAATTCCCAAACTTTGAAGCATTTTCTAAAAGGTTCTTGTGTCCAGAAAACAATTTGAGTGATTATTTTCATTGAGTGGCACTTCCTACAGGGAGCCAATGTGAGAATTTGTTCATTTACCTGTATAAAGATAGACCAAGATTAAGCCCTGACCATGCGTATAATACCTATTTGATACTATGGGGGAAAGAAATAGAAGGACAAATTGGTTGGAAAGAAGAGGTATATCCGATCATCTGGTTTATATTCTCAAGTATCTCCATGTGTTCATAGGATGAGAAATCACCTGGGTTGGGATGGTCATGAAAAGGGAGACTGCAAGTGGGTGCAGTGAGAGGGACTTCCCTGAGGCAGATTGATTGTGAGGATAAGATTGTTCATGGAATGCTGAATTGGAGCATTTCATCACAGAGATAGCCAGAGGTGGCAGTTGGGATCCTGGTACTTCAACAGCAACAACAAAAAGGATTTATTTACCTATGGTAGAAGGATATTTGTCCTAAAAAACTAATTGAGTCATGCATCTCTGGTTCCTTTGTGCAGATGTTATGCTTCCTATTGAAACAGTGATTGTTGCTAATAATACCTATTTGAACCCCAGCCTCAATGTGCCTTTTGTGCCCTTTCCTGAGACTACGGTCATCCCTCAATGCTGCTGCCAGGTCATCGCCAGCTGCTCAGCCTCAATTAGGATCCGTCCAGGAGATTTAGGGGTCATGCTTCAATGTGGGATTTGACTTGCAATTATCCATCACACTAGGAAATTGTTCTAATCAATCTATCTTTATTACCACTTAGATTGTAATTCTAACTGCTCTGTTTTTATATAAGGTTGCCATTACCACCTGGGGCTTTTTCAGGACTCTGGAAGAATCAGGAAGCATTCAAGCATTTATACTTTGAAAAATTTCCTGTAAGAACTTTATAATACTTGTTTTTAAACCTTCCAAAGTACCTCTCTGTAGTTCTTGCCTATTAAATTGAGCACTTAGTCCTGGACTCATAGATAACAACTTCTAAAGTTTATCTGGACCAAGTTCTGGATCTCAGAAATAAGAATGCCCAAACCACAATTAGCTACTAAGTCATTTTTATATTTATTGGTCTCTGGACATAGAAATTTCTCAGTTTATCTTTAGCACATTTTCCTGAAATTGAGCAGCCCTGAATATCGGGAACGCTTTGTTAAATTAAAGACTTTGGGGGGCTATCTCTATTCTTTCCTGATTGGATCTGTCTGAGAGCACCTGATCAGAATTGTACACTGTCACTGGGACCCCTTCACCTCCTCTATAGCTGCTTATGTGAGCAAAGTTCATCTGGATTGCCCACAGTTGTATTTTTCCACTCCTTTACCTATTTTTGATATTCATTCCTGAATGTTCTCTTAGCTTTTTATTTTAAGTTCCCATTTTAAAATACAGATACACGCTAGGCACAGGGTTCCTGCAGCACAACCTCCAGTAACCTGGATGGCCAAAAGCGTTGTCTTACTTTTTGTTTTGTCATTTACCTGCTTCTCCGTATCACCATAATATGTTTTGTGTTTATAACAGCACTTTATTGTTAATACACATCAGGTCCCACCATCATATTGCTGCTGCACTTTGGTTTCTATTTCTTTCCGAGAGGTTCTTGGTTCTCATTATGCAGTAGGTGGTAAAAAAAATGGTCAGAATTCTATTAAAACAAACAAACAAATAAGTCTCAGTGTTTAGCATTTTATCTTTATTATTTGTGAGTGAAAGACAGGTAACCTAATCAAGTAAGCAAATGACAGGATTTAAAATAGCTTCCTTTAGAAAAGAGATCTTGGAGTTAAATGATCTCAGTAGCTGAGATAAAACATGCCCCCGATGGACTTTGGCAGCGAGAAGATTTGTCAGTAGAGTTGACTCTCGTCGGCCCGATCTATCGGCCTGATGGGCCCCGTTAAATCATCAGAGTACTGATATGATTAAGTACACCCAATAGTGGCAAATGAGATGTGCATGTGGTTTTAACATGATCACTTTTAACACTGACAGCGCCCAGGGTCTCAGTTTATGGTTAAACTATGTGGGGTGACTGTACTCTTGCTATCCTGACCTCAAACTTCTCATCGAAGGGTTAATCACAGCACAAAAGGTAGAGTAACTTGCCTGTAGTTTACAAGTCATGGAGCTGGAAAGGGAGTAAAGGGAAAGCCTTTATGAGTAAAGGCTGGAGTCCATGCTCTTGAACTGTACTCTAGGTTTTTCTCTCCGAAAGAAATGACAGTGAGAGCTGCCAATTACTGAGGCCTTTCGCTGTGCCAGGATCGGCCCTCTTTACATACACCATCTCATCTATGCTTCACTGAAACCTTACAGGGTATATATAGTTCACTACCTTGTTTAGCAGATGAGCATCCTGAGACTCAGGAGAATAAGAAGCACATATAGTGACTCATCTGGACTGTTCCTAAAGCCCATGCTCATTAACATAAGTATCAAGATAACTGAAAAGCATTAGAATTAATATTTCTTTCTACTTTGTATTCTTCTTGATTCTCCATTCTATTGTGATTTCTGGACCAGTGAAGATGTGCTGCTACTTTGAGTTGATTAAAAATTAAATTTCATCCCTATTATTATATTTCACAGAAGCTCGAGTCTAATCCAAATTCATGTTAACAAACTAGCACTCTATTTTGTAATTATTCATAGAGAGGTTTAGAGCTTTTAAAAATTAATATGAATTAAAGAGGAAATCTATCAAAGAATTACTTTGCAATACCAAAGTATATTGGAAATACTGAACTATTAATTCTCCATTAAAAAAAGTGAGTTCATAAAGTTTACAATTCTACATTCAAACATTTAACTTGAATATATATAAGAACATTTGAATTTATTCCTGGCTATTAGAGGAGCAAAGAGATTCTAGTAAGTTTTCAAAATCAAGAAGAGTTTAATTCCATAGCCTAGTTATGAAAAAAAAAAAAGTCAAATGCGTGCAGTAAATCCATTTCTATCACATTTTATATTATACCACTCTTAAATGATTGCATTACCTAGCAATACATGCTAATGAGACATTATTGATTCTCATTTTCAGGGATACTATGACACCATGGATGCTGGTTACATGGATGAAGAAGGCTATTTGTATGTTATGTCTCGAGTTGATGACGTGATAAATGTTGCAGGTCACAGGATTTCTGCAGGTGCTATTGAAGAGGTATTGATGAATATGAATTTTCTGTTCCAGGTAGTATTTAGAGACAGAGGTGAACTGGAGTTAAGTCATTGTATCTGGGAAATTACTGTTCCCTTCGTTTGAAGCAGAGGCTGGGTTACCTGTACCTCTCTCACCTCACTTCCTCTTGTATAAATCGTCCTATTCTCCACACTCCCGGTCTCTGGGTGGTAGGGGGGGAATTTGAAGAAGCTACATATTTGTGCTATTTATAGGAGAGCTTATCTACTTTTGCTTCTTGATACTTACTACTTGCATTGCCTCTAGCTTCTTGATTTTCTCTTGCTCGATAACCAGGTTTGCATATAGTCTTTAACTGGTGGGAGATTTAAATATTTTATTGTACTCTTAAATCCTGAGAATTTTTTCTAATGTAAATACATTGTCACTAAGTCCCCAGAAGAACTTTTTTTTAATGTTTTTAATTTGTACATTTACATAGAGTAAAATCTACTTTATTGCTGTTCGGTACTATGAGTTTTTATACTTGTATAGATTCTTGGAACCTTTACCACAGAGAGAATACAGAAAAATGTCAGCACTGCCAAAGAATTCTCTCATAGCATTACCTTTGTATTCTGATGCTCCCCATCCCTAACCCCTGGTGACTACTGATTTTTCTATTTCTATGTTTTTGCTTCTCTAGGATGTCATAGAAATGCAATAATATAGCATGTAACATTTGAGACTGAGTTATATCATTTAGGAAAATACATTCGAGATCCATCCAAATTGTTGTATATCAATAATTTGTCCTTTTATATTGCTATGTGGTATTCCATTAGTGGATGTATTAACCAGGCTCTGTATCCATTCACTCACTGAAGGATATTTGGATTGTTTCTAGTTTGAAGTAATTTTAAATAACTCTGTTATATGCATTCATACAAGTTTTTGGGCAAAATTAGTTTTTATTTTTCTATGATAAGTAACCATAGTGAGTTGGCTGGGTCATGTGGTAAATATATATGTTTAAGTTTATAAGAAACTGTCAAACTGTTTTCCAGAGTGGCTTCTCAATTTTACATTCCTGCCAGCAGTGTTTGAGGGTTTCTGTTTCTTCCTGTCTTTATTAAAACTTGGAGTTGTGTCATTATCCTTATTTTAACCATTCTAATGGATATGTAGTGGCATCTCGTTGCTTTCAATTTGGTTTGCCATAATGACTTAATGATGTTGGGCATCTTTTGACATGCTTATTTCTCATCCAGATAACTTCTTTGGTAAAATACCTGTGGGAATCTTCTGCTCATTTTTTTTTAAATTGAGTTGTTTTTTGTTGTATCATCTGATACATGATTTGCAAATATCATCTTCCAGTCTGTGACTAGTCTTTTTATTTTCTTAAAGATGTCCTTCACAGGGGCGCCAGGTTGGCTCAGCGGTTGAGCATATGCTTTGGCTCAGGGCGTGATCCTGGAGACCCGGCATCAAGTCCCACATCGGGCTCCCTGCGTGGAGCCTGCTTCTCCCTCTGCCTGTGTCTCTGCCTCTCTCTCTCTCTCTCTCTCTCTCTCACAAATAAATAAGTAAAATCTTTAACAACAACAACAAAAAGATGTACTTCACAGAAGTATTTTTCATATTGATGAGATCAAGTGACTTTTTTTTTTTTTTTAACAAATCATGATTCTGGTATTGTATCTTAGAACTCTTTCCTAAGCCAAGGTCATAACAGTTCTTTGTTTTGACCTAAGAATTTTATAGTTTCATGTTTTGCATTTACTTTATTGTTTTACATTTACTTTATTTTACATTTCAGATCAGTTTACATTTACATTTTGAGTTTTTGTGTGTGTATGGTGCAAATTGTAAAGTGAGGATTATTTTTTTTTGAAATATGGATGTCAGGTGTTCGAAGCATCAATTATTGCAAAGACTGCTTTTCTTCCTTGAATTTCCTTCTTACTTTTGTCCAAATCAGCTGACAGTATTTGAGTGGATCTATTTCTAGAGTATCTCTTCCGTTTCATTATTCTATGTGTTATCCTTTTACCAGTACCATTCTGTCTTGATATTGTAGCTTCATAGAATGCCTTAAGTTGAATAGTGTCCACATTTGCTCTTCTTTTTCAAAATTGTTGTTGGATGTTCCAGTTTGTTTACTTTTCCATATATATTTTAGAATGAACTTTTTTATAGTTATAATGAATTTTGATTGTGACTGCATTAAATCTATAGATACTTTTGGGAAAAATTGTTATTTGACTTATACTGAATCTTCCAATCCAAGAGTCTTATACATGTCTTCATTTCTTTAGGTCTTTTTTGATATGTTTCATCAACATTTTATATTTTTTAGTATACAGATTCTGAGCTTATTTTGTTAGAGTTATACCTAAGTATTTAATTTTTTAGCTACTGTAAACAGAATCTTTTTAAAATCTAAGTTTACAAATTTTCACTGCTAGTGGATAGAAATACTGTTGACTTCTTTGAACTGATATGTATCTTTTATAGATTCCTTGAGATTTCCTATATAATCATGTGTCTGTGAATAGAGATAATTTTATTGCTTTCTTTTCAGTCTGAATGCCTTTTATTCCTTTATCTTGCCTTCTTGAACTGGTTAAAATTTCCAGTATGATATTGTATAACAGTGGTGAGGACAGATACCCTTGTCTTATTTCCGAATTTAGGGTAAAAACATTCAGTACCTTACCATTAAGAATCATGTTCCTTGTAGGTGTTTCCGTAGATAAACTTTATCAAATTACGATGTTCATCCTATTCTTAATTTGATGAGATTTAAAAAAAAATCTTGAATGAATGCTGAATTTTTTCCAAATGCTTTTTCTGCTTTTATTGATATGATCATGTGACTTCTTAAAAGCCTTTTAATACGTGGATTTCATTAATTAATTTTCAAGTGTTCAGCCTTGCATTACTGGGATAAACCTTACTTGTTGCAATGTCTTTATATATTGATTTTTTTTAAACATCTATAGTCATTTTCTTTGTTCTGAAGTTGGTTATGTGTGGTAATCACATAGCCATTCCATCTTTTTTTGAATAGTGTTTGAATCATATATCTTTTGTCATCCTTTCATTTGGATCATTGTGGGTTATTATGGATCTATGCAGATCCATCATCTGGGTCATTATTCTTTTTATGGACTTCTTGTAGATAGCATACAGTTAGGTCTTACTTTTATTTTTATCCAATCTGACAATATCTATCTTTTAAGTGGTGTTTTCAGACCACTTAACATTTAAATAAATTATTCATATATTTATATTTTGCGTATCAGTTTATTAGTTTTCTTTTTGCCTTTTCTTCATTTTTCTCTTATACATTTTTCTCTCTTCCTTCAAGTCATTTCATTTTCTTTTGTAGCTTCTGTTTCTTTACTGAGAACTTCTCTGATTCCTTTCACTCCAAGAATGTTTGCCCATTTTCTTGGACCATGGCTATTGTTTTTTTTAATATTCATCTCTGTTAATTTTATTCTGAATATGTAAATGAGGTGTTATGGGTCAAAGACAGATTTCTTGATAATAAATATGTCATTCTTTCTTACCCAAGGCCATAGCCTTAGGTCCTATATAAGTGTCAGACACTTCATAGATGAGAGATGAGTAAGATAATATTTGTCTGCTTATAAGGGAGAAGAAAGCATTGATCTTCCATCCCTCATCAGAAAGTCTCCTTCAAAACATAAGGGCCTTAATCCAAACTCCAACTCTTTGATATGTAAATAAAATCTCTCTAGGAGCCAGATAGCCCTGTGTGTCTCAACTCTTACAACTTAGAGATGTTTCCAAGTTCTGAGGCTTCATCTTTGTTTGACATGTAAATACCTAGGAAGTTAGTGAGCCACTCTCCCCAGCACGTTGTGAGTTTAACCCTAGGGAACTAGTCTAGTCTAGACTTTGATAATTTTGCCATTCCAGGGAAATTAGAAAAGTTTTATTATCCTTTCAGACCAGAGTAATTAACCCGACAATCAGCTATACATCAAATTCTCATTGTATTTAAAGATTCTTGGGAGGCTAGGGCTTTATATAACAGCAATGAGGAATTTAGGAAAGTTTTTAATCCCCCTGCCACCATTATAATAGCTGCATTAAAATGTTTGTCTGGTAATTCTAAAATTTGGGTCATCTTGGTGTTTGTGTGTATTAATTAATAGTCTTTTATCTTAAGAGATGTTTAGGTTTTCTTGATTCCTTTTACATCCAGTAACTTTTGATTCTATCCTAGATATTTTGAATATTACATTGTGAAGTTCTGAATCCTGTTAAAATCACCTGGATTTGTGTTCTTGTGATTACCTATTTTAGTTAAGGTCAGATCACCTGTCCTTACTCACTTCCTATGGACTGTGGTTCCAATGTTAATTTAATTTTCAGTTTCTGAAGCACTATTTTGGTCCATCTCACTTGTGTCTCTCCTAGAGGCCAATGTGAAACTCGAGTTAAATGTTCAGGATCTTCACTGTGCTGGTTCCGGTTGGACTCATGCATGCACATATCTGGGGTAGGCTCAGGACTTCATACACAGACTTGAAGTATCCCTTTGTCCAGCTCCTTCTTCTCCATAATCTACTCTTCACTTTCTGATTTCCAGGGTTGCCCATTGCTGCTCTCTTGGGTAAAAAGTCAGAACTTTGCACTCCCTCTGTTCTTATCAGGGTTCAATACTGCATGTCCTACATGCGCTGCATGCCTGGACAGAGGATGAGACAGTCTCTTTGATAGCACTCTCTTAGTGGAGAGCAGAGCAGGTCAACAGGGATCTACTTCTGAACTGTATGACTGCTCTTGCAGGGGAGGGGGGCCAAATGGCACTGAATCTTTCTAGGCTCCCATAGAGTCTGTGTGTGTTTGGGACGGGGTTCCCTCGGGACTCCATCCCACAGGATGCACACCAGTAATGGAGAAGAAAGGACATTGCTCTTTTGCCGGCACTCACTTGGAGTAGGGTGTGGAGAGTCAACAAGATCGCTACAGCTCTGTAGGAAGGGAGAAGGGCACTGAGT